TTTAGAACCAGGCATAAACTTATGATGACTTTATTTGAGGAAAGCTTGAGACAACTGGGAACTTCAGCCTGGTGAAGACTGGGGGGGGGGGGGTGACATGACTACACTATTTAAAGGGCTGCAACAGAGAGGAGCAGGCAGGTTTGCTCTCTGTTGCCTTAGTAGGTAGGATCAGTTCCAATGGTTTAAAGTTACAGGAAAGCAGATTTCAACTGAACATTAGAAGCAATCTCTTAATGTGAGAATGGTTCAGCAGTGGAAGCAATTATCTAGAGAGATGGTGGGAAGTCTTTCTCTGGAGATCTTCAAAAAGAGGCTGGATAGCAACCTGCTGGGGATGCTCTAGCTCAGTTGTTCCCATACTTTGGTCCTCCACATGTTTTGGACTTTTGATTTCTGATTGTTGGCCAAGTTGCCTGGGACTTCTGGGGATCAATATTCAAAGCATCAAGGGAACCAAAGTTCCTGCATCAACCAGGAGCTTTGACTCAATGGCCTATGAGATCCCTTCCAACTCTATGATTCTATGATTTCCCTGCCACCTCTTAGTTTTCCAGTGGCTCATATGAAAGGAGACAGAAACAAACTGCTGTTAGAACATGGCCTCACAACCTGAAAAACCCAAAAAACCTATGGATGCCGGCCATGAAACCCTTTGACTTCACATTGAACATCTCTATGGGAAGAAACTGTTTCAAGACGCCCAGAGACTAGAAAAACTCTGGACCAGGAGAGCACATCTACTCTGTTTGTTAACCTTCTTGCTACGTTGCAGAGACACAGAAACCATACCACACTTTCTCACAGCAAAAAGGACCTTAAAATCCACACAGGCCAACCACATCTACAACAGAATGGAACAAGCACTGTTATGGGAGAGAATACACACCACTTGCAAAGAACTGATTAACATAGACAAGGAGCTGCTATCACTCCACCTCAATCTCAGTCAAAAGATGAACACCCAAGACTGGGACAAAGTTGGCCACCTCACCTACAGAAAAATGGAAAAAAATATGGCGGTCCACACTGAAAGGTAGAAACAAAATTTCAACAAATGCCACAAACACCAACCAAAACCCTTGCTGGACACATCACGGACCATTATCAATCTGATAGAGTGGAAACTTTCAAAAGAAGAAACATCCATCCTATCCAAAGGAGGTAATTTTGCAGTTACCAACACGAGAATCCCTTCATCATCCACCCTCCACCATCTCCTGGAGGAGGAAGCAGAAGAGATAAGAGGGGAAACAGCAAGGATTTTGTGTAAGGCAAAACTACCATCTAGCAACATAACCAAAAAAGAAAGAAAAGCCATCAAGGATCTCAATTTGGACCCAGAAATCATCATCAGATAAAGGCAATGAATGCCACAGTGATCACGGAAACAGAACAATACAAACAGACAATCAAGGAACTCTTGGATCCTGCAATATATAAAAAGCTCAAGCAAGATCCAACAAAATCACCTTGATCAAGAACTCATCAATTCAGCCAACCACATGCCTGAGTCTGTGCAAATCTAAGGCTCTCCCACCAGGGGGTTTCCCAGAGGACAATGGACCATTAATTAAATAGACACTAATCCTCCTCGCATATCCTCCCACCCTGAGGCCTTGCCTCAACAGAACAATACACATATTTACAGGCTAATCCTCTCAACCAAGGGTCACACAGTATATATATCCCATACACCTCCATGACATCATTCTTTGAAGATGCCAGCCACAGATGCAGGCAAAACGTCAGGAATACATTCTTCTAAAACACGTCCTCACAGCCCGAAAAACCCACAAAAACCTATGCTGCTAGTCAACTTTAAACGGGTTGACAGTTCTGTTCAGAGCACAGGAATGGAGCTGCACTTGAAATGGCTGAATATCATGGGGTGAAGTGTGCTGGCCTGGTGATGTTAATTTCTTGTGTGCCAGAAATAACAAGCAAAAAGCCAGGAAGAGAACATTCCAGTCATAATTGGTATTCTAGCACAAACTGTGCCATATCATTTGGCTGATTCTGTAGCTCAGTTCTTCTCTCACAAGTTCCAACAAATGCTCTAGCTTTGAGACTGGTGGCAAAGAGTGCAGAAAAAAAATTCTATTCCTCTAGAACAGAGACAGGCAAAGTGAAGGCTTCCTCGGGTTGTCAGACTGCATCATTCATCAGCCTTAGCCAGCATACCTAAAAGTAAGAAATGCTGGGAGTCACAGTCCAACAACATCTAGAGGTCCCACACTTTGTCCAGTTCTGCACTAAATCAAGGGCAGCAAACCTTTGTCCAGCAAACCTCTAACTCAAGGGCAGCAAATTCCAATAGCTCCAGCCAGTTAGACCAATGTTGGAGTGGGAGTTGTAGTCCAACATCTGGAGGGCCAAAGGTTCATCATTCAGCTGGTATAAATTAAAGCAACTAATTGGAACAAAAGACTAGCATTTTTGCTTTCTCAATCATTTTATAACCTATAATAGAGCCAGATGTCCCTTATTTCAAAGGAAATTCCTCACTCTGTCTTAAAAAGGACTCCATATTCAGAAAAATGGAAGCACTTTTGAGTTCAAGAAGACATATCTCGGTAAAGGTAAATAGGGTGGCTGCCTAATTCTCATTCTCACAGTCCTACAGAAAATGACATCAAAATTACAGCAATTAAGTTGAGTGGTATTTCAAAAGTTCTGGCATGTTCTTTCTACTTTAAACCCATGTTCTGGCTTTTGCAAAGAAAAAAAAGTGATGCTGTCCCCTGCATTCTCCAAAGTAATTTGCAGTTCCCCCTCCCCAAGTCTTCCCTCTGCAACAAAATGTGGGATGGACGCGGGAGGGAGGAAGCTGTGGCACAAAGTAGGTCAGTTGTGTCACTTAAATTAAATCAATTTCAGCAATACGATCAGGTGCATACAAAACAAGATGATGAATGCAGAAATATTTTCTGCAACATTTAGCAGAGCCTCATTATAATTACAAGTTGTTGGATTTGAGGAGATTAAAAGTCAATTTAGCAACATCAAGCATAAGCCAGTTTTACTAAAGGGCATCCTAAAGTGTTTATTTGTAACAGAAGAAGCATGAGGGAGAATGAACATAGATTCACTGCAGAAACAAGATGGTAGGGATAAAACATTCCAAATATTGTCATTATTTTTTTTTAAAAAAAAGAGGAACTAAAGATCTTGCAATTGTTACAAATGACCAAACATGACAGTATGCTTAAAGCTTATATATGCATAATCAGTAACACACAGGATTATAGTAATGCAGATATGGGTCTGAGACTGATAGTTGCTATTTGCCTATGGCTACCAAGGCCCTCCAGAGGTTGCTGGACTGCAACACCCAACATTTCTCACCTTTGGCTATGTTGGCTAAGGCTGGGACTTGTAGGTCAACATCTGAAAAACTACATGGTGAAGAGCTACACATGAATTCTGAAGTCTTTTCTTTCTGCACAACAACAACAACAACAACAACATTAAAATCCATCGATAAAATACCTTAAAATTAATAATTTTAAAACCATCTGGATGTCTTGGACATACTGGTATGCTACTTTGAGCTTTGGATTTGAAGACTCTGGAGACCTGGGTTTGGATCACCCTTTTGCTCAGCTCTGGGGACCCCCTGGGTAACCTTGAACAAGTCACTCACTTTCAGCCTCAGGGGTCCCCCCCTCCCTCCCCTCCCTGTTCCAGGGCCTGATCCTTGAGGCCTGACTTAACAGGAGACAGAGGCCGAAGGCTTCTGCAACGCTGTCGCCATCTCTGACCAGGAAGCTCCTGTTGCGTCCAAATGAGCCAAGAGCTCCTCTGCTGCCACCCAGCTCAGGTCCTTGTGGTACCAGGGGGGCTGGGGGAGAGGAGATGGAGAAGAATTGGGGGGATTGTTTGGGGAAGGGGACAGAGAGGGCACAGGACCTGATGGGGAGGGCAGGAAGAAGGAGGAGCCCACTGCCCGTGACGAGAGAGACGCTAGTGCCAGAGACATAGGCCATGCCGGATCCCCAGCCAGGGGAGTCTCTGCACTAGCCCTAGAAGAAGGGGAAAGATCGGGGTCCTGACTGGCCTCAGGAGGT